GTGCTTTTATGTTTTTATAAAACTTTTTTTTTTTTTTTTTTCAGTTGAGTCAGACGAAATGTTGCTGACGCTGCTATTCTGCTGCAACACTAAATGGAAAAAGTGGGAGATAGAAGTCAAAGTCCAACTTTTTTTTAGCCGATTATAAAAGTTTTTAACCTTTTTTTTCAAATAATCAAAGGTGTAAAACTGTTGTTAAAAACCCTTACTGTACTATCAAAATTATTACTGGAAACAAATTTGGTAAAATTTCTGACTGAATGTCTTTCTTGTTCTAGACAAATTCGGTGTATTTTTCAAAGATCACTTTTCAACAAAAACTGTAATGTGTTTGCAAAATTTCATGTGATTTGCTTTTGACGTCAAAGACATCTGTTGTCTCTATTTCGGTTGTTATTAATGTTTGCAATACTTCCATTGGAAGATCATGTCTTTCCGTTTGGTATCTTTGTATTTAGTTTACATAAATACTCCCTAGGCTTATTATCCTTATATTGAAGAATAAAGTTGACCATAGTGGAAGTACTTTTGCTATTACACTGCAAACATCTTCGCCATCTAAACGTAAAGCTCCAAAAATTCACCAGTATCGCCTCTTCGCTTGGCCGGTAAAAATCAAAGAAGTATTCGGTTTCTACAAACCCTACAACGTATCAGAAAAAAATTGAGGTGATGAATTGTCGGCAAAACGGTTCCATTTTCTCTAAGATAACAAGTAAAAAGCATTGATAGTTTATTAACGCTCTACAAGAGATTTCTTCCGATATTACGAATACGACCAGCTGACCCACAGTCACTTAGACTGAATCAGATGGCCAACTCATCTGATCAATTGACCAAAAATGATACAAGCAATGAGAACGCGTCTTGCCAAGTTGTAATAATGTATAAACCGCTTCTTATACAAAACTTCCGTCATTTCTTTTACTTTTAAACTTGTATTTGGTCCCACTCAGCTTCAACGATTATATACTTCGACAGTCAGTTCTTGTTTTGCTTAATACAGTCAAAATTTTTCTCAGTTTACCTTCACTGGTATGCCGATGATTGTAACGACGTATTTAAATGACTCAGAACTGTAGTACACTGAGCAGGAGGAAATTTTTTTTGCGATTTTGCTATCAGATACAGGTCATAAAGTGTTCGATAAATATCCAAGTTTTTCGGTCAATTAAAATATTTTGGACAAGTCTACATTGCATTTTTCTGCTTAATCACCAACCAAGCAGCAATAAAAAATTAAATATAACTATATAACCCAAGACAGTCACCATCTGAACGCCAGTACAGTCACTGTAAGCAGCAAAAGAGAGAAGAAAAACACATATTAATATTAAATTTTATTGGCCCTGAATATTATATACAAATCCAATTGTACACCAAAACAGGACAGAGCGTAACAGTAAAACGAAACAAAGCAGAAATTGACCCAAGTTTGGCTAAAATTTATGGGAGGAATTCCAGTTACTCACTCACTCAAAAGAAAAACAATTGAATCAAATTAAGAAAAACTTTCCATCCGGTAATCTACACCCCTATAAAAAATTAGACAATCATTTGGACATTCTTTTCACTAATTCAAAACTACTTTTAGCCTTTTAAAAAAGCCAAAAACGAATGCTTATTTTAAATAAGCAAAAAAAAAAAAAAAAAAAAAAAAAAAAAAA